TTATGGAGTTTGATAGCCATTTGGGCAAGAAACTGCTCTTGCCTGGACTACTGCATAAACTGGACACAGAGAACCCGCAGAGAGAGGACTACTGAACTTGCCTAAGGTGAGATGATCTTTCGGGGTTCCTGATTCATGAAAGAGTCTGCGAGACATTCTGCAGGACACAACAGATAGTGACTGAACTGACTTTGAATTTTCCTGCTTTATGGAAATGTCTGCTGGATACCATGGGCCTGAAGGCTGAAGATGGATGCCCCAACGGTACAAAAGAACCTTGGGTGACTGTCCAGGCAGCGAGATGTCTTTGTCATTTCTAGAGTTTGAAGTTTCTTAGTTCTTGTTTACTTAGGTAATATTATATCTTTCTGGAGTCTTTGATGGAGTTAAGAATAGTTAGTTATAGTTATAGTTTTCCTTAGTTATGATAAAGATTATTGTAACTTTTACTTGATAACTGTTTTGTTATATGTAATTTTGCTATGTTAAAGTTAAAGCCTTTTTTTTGTTTAAACCGAAAAAGGGGAAATGATGGAGGAAGGTCATTGGCCAATAAAGAAACTGCTTGGCCCTGTGGGTGGAGTAAACAGAACAAAATGCTGGGAGGAAGAGGAAGTGAGGTCAGAGTCTCGACATCTCTCCTCTCCGGAGCAGACGCCTGAGAGAGACGCCATGCCCCACTCCCGGCATGAAGCTCCGACCCAGGATGGACTAGGCTAGAATCTTCCCGGTAAGACCGGTTCTCACAGATTATTAGAGATGGGTTGATGGGGATGTGAGAATTAGCCTGTAAGTGCTAGAGCTAAAGGGCCAAGCAGTGTTTAAATGAATACAGTTTGTGTGTTGTTATTTCGGGCATAAGCTAGCCGAGCAGGCGGCTGGGGTGCCAGGGACGCAGCCCCGCCACCCTTATTACTTCATTCTTATAAATAAATTTTATAGCCATTGCAGAGGGTGAACACACAGCTTTGATTCTTTTGGGGAGGTGGATAGGATCTCACTGTGTAGGCCTAGCAGGCCTTGAACTCGCAAAGATCCATCTGCCTTTGTCTACGAAGTGCTGGGATTAAAGGTCTTGAGCCATCATACCCAGCTTGTTTCTTACTTTTCACATTAAAATACAGCATGGCTTTACAAACACTTTGGAAGACAATTTGGCCATAGCTGTCTAAGGTAATCATAAACATATCCATTAACTAATAGTCACATCTCTAAGTTTATTTATGACAGAATTGCCAAAAGAGACGTAGAAGGTGTTCACAGGAGCATTACAGCAATAACAGTGATTCGGGACCCTGTACAACCTGTACCTCTATATCCTAGGCTATGCCATCTGAGTTTGTACAATAAACTTCTTGACTTTGACTGGAGGTTTAAATTTAACAAAAGGAAAATCTAGAAAACACCCAAATGTCCTTAAGCAGAAAAAAGGCTAACTTATTACAGCTGAACCACATCATGTTCTATATAACAATGAGAAAGAAGAACCCACAAGCACAACACAAAGACAAGGTCTTGCCTCACAAACTTAGTGTTGAATGAGAGGAACAAGAGCCAAACACTCCAGACATGGACCTGATGACCCACATTTCAGACAGGTGTCAACTCTTCTCTCCTCAATGCTCCCCCTCATCTGTTTATCAAGAATCAGTTCTTTCTTGCCACTAATGTGGTTCTGGAGGTCACTCTAGAGCTGTCAGGCTCAGTAGGAGGCACCTTTATTCAGTGAGCCATCTCCCCAGTCTTTAGACCCCACTTTTAAGTGAAAATCAGGGATATTTTTACATGGAAAAGGGCTTAAGTAGCTGTGAGTTCATAAGCAGCTTCCAGGGTACAGGAAACGTTCTGTTCTGCGTATGAGTTGGGTATGAGTTACAGAGGTGCTGAGTCTGTGAACATAATGCTTGTATACACCATGTAGCTGTACTCAAAACCACTTCATTTCTAATGCAATTACAAAAGCCACAACCCCAAAGGATTCCAGCAGTCAACAGTGAACAAAGTAGGGAACACAGGGTTCCAGACTTGCAGACCCAACCGCTTTAGGTTAGCCTGACTCCAACAGGACAGTGTCTTTAGATCACAGATAGATAAAAGCAACATGTCCCACCCCAAGCTGGCTTGTTTTCCATTTTCTCTTTCTTTTTAAGCTGCAAATAATTCCACAGCTTTCTTGTCTGTCAGGGCTATCAGGGGCTATTTCAGACCTCACCATCACTCTGACACCTTAATGTGTGGCACCCACATCCAGAAATCCTGGTTGCCGGAGGAAGAGAAACACCATCTGAGAACACTTTGGGATCCCTGCACAAAACCTACCCCACACCTCTATATCCTGGGCTGTGCCATCTGAGTTTGTCGAATAAACTTCCCGACCTTGAAGGATGTTTAAATACAGCAGATGGGAGGCCTGTGGCTCAATCTACTTTTGTGAATTAAATTGGACACTTCCGAAACAAAGTTAATGTTCTGCAGCTGGCTGTCCCAGCTTGAAGGGCAGCTTTTGTAATACTGTGGGAGAGGGAACCTTGTCGTATCAAATGTCTGGAAGTCAATCTGAACTGAGTGACTTTTGGAAACTGTTTTTGAGGTTGTTTCCCACCTACGTACAACCATTTTTATAAGCTGGTTAACCAGGAATCCAGCTGCAGGAATGTGTGGATGTTTCCTTGTGGCAGGAGTCCACTGCAGTGTCACTCCCTAGGGACCTTTTGGAGATGACTAGTTGGTGAGGATCTCTGAAACTGTCTCCATAGAATGAAGCTTTACAAAGCACCGTCCATCTTCCTGATGCCACACAGGGGAGTGAGAATAGGGAAGTGTGGGGCTGCCACCGCAGGATAGGAAAACAATCCTTTGGACTAAAACCACAATGTGCTCACTGAGCAAAGACCCCAGACCAGAGTGTAAGATGGAAATCACCCAGCATCCTCACTTAGATGGAACTGATTATTACAGTGTTTATACAGGTTACAAGGTTAAAATGAGGCCTTCTGAAATACAATCAGTCTGAATGGGGGCTTAGTTCCCTATAATCCCTTCTATAATAAAATATTTGCACTATTTTTTATTTTAGTAATAACTTGTGGTCTTGTGCTGGATAGTTTTATGTCAACTTGACACAAGCTAACTAAGGTCATCTGAGTGCAGGGAACCTCAATTTAAAAAGCTGCCTCCACTAGAACTGGTTGTATGCAAACCTGTAGGGTATTTTCTTAGTTTGTGATTGATGGAGGAGGACCCAGTCCATTGTGGGCAGTACCATTCCTGGGCTGCTGGTCCTGGGTTTCATAAGAAACCAGGGGGAAAGAGTCAGTACTGACCTATCCATGACCTCTGCATCAGTTTCTGCCTCCAGGTTCCTGCCCTGTTTGAGCTCCTGTTCTGACTTCCTTCAATGATGAACAGTGATGTTGAAGTGTAAGCCAAATAAACCCTTTCTACCCCAAGATGCTTTTGGTCATGGTGTTTTATCACAGCAATAGTAACCCTAACCAAAACAGTCATCAAATAACCAAGCTTCCTTTACTAAATCTTCACAGCATACAACTTTTACTAATCCCTCTGGTTAGTGCAGGGGCTCAAACCCCAGTAATCTTGGTACTGTGGAGGCAGAGGTAAGAGGTTTGTGATCTCATCATGAGTTTGAGGCTAGCCTGGGCAACATAATGAGTACCAGGTCAGCCAAGGCTACAGAGCAAGACTATATCAAATGAATAAATGAAATATATATATAAAATACCCACACTTCCTTCATTCCTCACCCAAATAAAACAAAAACCATGCCCATGCCTGCTTGGCAGCTCTGTGTCTGCTTGTCCTGAAGAAGGCTCATTTGCTTACAGAGTGGACTCCCACAAAAGGACTTATCTGCATACACATGGATTGCAGCTCATATGTTCCTTTAGTTTATTTGAGGTTGAATCTCAGACTTTAATTTCTACAACTTCTTCCCTATACTTAGTTTTCACATGAGTGAGGGAAGACAGCCAAAGGGAAGCAACAACAGAAACTCCGGGCAACTAAAAATGCCAAGTAAATCACAGCACCTAATAAGACAGGTAAGCGATTTTGCCCCATCTCAACTGTATAAGGTAATATCTGTACTGTCAAAAAGACATATCCTTGAGAAAACGGCTTCTTTCTGCTCTTTAAAGTTTCTTTCCATTGCCTACTAATGCATACTCAGAAAATGCAAACTTATCTTAGCATTGACCAATGGCAAGTGTAAATTGAGGGGTCAGTCTCTGTTCAGGTGGTGTCACTAAGAGATAAGGAACATGAGAAGCACCAACACCTCCTGTGGCTGTCTGAGCAGACCTGAGTCTGGAACACTAGATGACTCATAATGCAGTCTCAGTTAACTGGAGACCCTTTAATTTGGTGCTAAAGCCCAGGATGTTGCCTGCTTCATGCCCTTTGTCCACAGACACACTACCTCGACATGCTGCCCTCCTGGCTGTATACCCTCACATAACGTGGGTTACATGCCCTTTGGACTCACTGGACAGTAACTTAATATGACCTTAGCTGACTAGACAATGTATGCATATATGCCAGTGAACATACACACTAAACCAGATCTGCGCCTCTGGACCAGATGCTGGTCTCTGGAGTCTGCTTCCTGGAAAATTCGTCATGACTCCATCTCCCTCACCCCACTCCCACTGAGTCACCTGTGACTCACCCCACAGTAACTGTGAAGGTAAATCCACTGCTTCTTAAAGCAAAACCAGAGATGGAAGAGGAAGTGGAGGGGAAGGGTGGTAGAAGAAAGGCTGGAGGACACATTTCTTATTGAAAGCTAAAGATTCTCTAGAATTCCAAGCTTACTAACATCAAGCAAACTATAGTCTTCGGAGCATTGTTCATTGTTTTATAAGTCACTGAATTCAGCTGACCCGACAGGAGATACAAAAGTCCACCCATTAGAAGGAACCCTGTAGATGTTAACAGGACTGCTATGTGGGCCGCTCGGGAAGGCCACGGTTTCCGCTCACCTCTGACATGTCATGCACCAGCAAGAGAGGGATGCTCATTGTTGTGATGTCATGGGTACAGCAAACCTTGAGAATATTTCGGAGTCCCATGATAGCAGGATCCCGAGCAGTGATATTTCCCGACTTCACATTGTCATCCACACAGAGATGGAAAGCAACGTGGATTTCCGAGAGATTCGAATGACGTGTAATATAAAATTCTCCTGTAAACAACAAACACAGCCATGATTTCAAAAGCCTGGGTCACACTCGTCCACAGTTTTATAAATAACCATGGGGGAAGCCAAAGTGTTGACTTTGTATCAGGAAGCAAATACAATCACTGCTTCTTATTCTCAGAGAAAACAATTAAAATAAGAGATAATAGCCGGTGTGTCAAGAGGGTCACAAAGTGGTATGAAGTAAGCCCTTGGATAATAGGTATATGAGTGTTTACAATCTTTACTCAACATAAACTGTTGAGTCTAACATGTGAAAATGTGTGGCTTGGCTACCTGCCTCCCTGCAGCCTAAGTCTGCTCTCTCATGCCTCAACTAATTTGACTGCCAATCTGTTTATCAGCCTCTCAGACCAGAAATACAGAAACTGCATTTGCTTCCATTTCTCCATCATCTATCCCCATCCACTGATCTCTTTGTTCCCATTTCTGCCTGACTACAAACCTACTTCTTTTACTGGTCCAAAATGATTCCAAGACACTGGGTCACTCTCTTACTTACACACTCAGCAGCTGGGAACAGCCAGCTCTTTACTATGACCCACAAGGCCGACACAGCACAGACAAGGCCTTTCTCTTTGACACCCCTTCGCCTCATCTCTCTTCTTTGCTCAAGCCACACAGCCTGTGTTCAACCCTAAAAACCCGTGGAGCTTTTTCCCAATCCAGGCTGATGCTAAAAGGCTTTTCTCCGATGTTTTTTCATATGGTGGACTCCACCGGTCACATCTCAGATCAAATGCCACCTTCTTAGAAAGGCCTTCCTTGACTATCCTCTCCAACACAGGACCCCTCCACCTGTCACATTTTTTGCTACCATTCTGCTTTATTTTTTCTTAACAATGACATCCTACTATTTACACAGATTATATTAAACAGAGTATTGTTTATGGCTCACAGTTAATGAGAACCTTCCTTATCTTAATAATCCATCTCCAGCACATAGAAAAGTTCTCCATAAAGATCTGTTGACTGCATAGATGAGTGTTTCAAATGGACTTCTGGAATCATGTTTCTTAACTGTAAAATCCAGGCTTCTTACAATCATTATTTTTCTTATATAGCTTAATAGCCAAGAAAATCTCAACAGCTTTTATTCTGTCAATGAGTAACATAACAAATCCATGTAAATCCATGTGTGTGTGTGTGTATATATATATATATATATATATATATATATATGCACATCTCAGTGGAAATTGTGCCCTGTCTGCCCAGAAGTTTATTTCACTCTTCTACAATTAGCCCTTGCTAATTTCCTCATCTTTGCCTCTAATTATATTAGAATTTTATTTTAAAACCTAATATACTTGTATTTAAAAATATTAGTAGGCCCTACCAGCAGCCAGGGAAGAACAATGGCACAGCTATGAAGTCAAACCTGCTGGAGAAGTCCCTAAATTGAAGAGGGGACACACAGAGAGCTCAGGGCAAGTGACAGTGTTACGGAATATAATTGTAAGGTGTGTGACTTTTGTTTCTGCTGCATTTGTTTAACTCTGTGAAGCTGTGATTCTCTGCCTGTCTAAACCGCCTGATGGTCTAATAAAGAACTGAATGGCCAATAGCAAGGCAGGAGCAACGGTAAACGGGGCTGGCCAACAGAGTATAAATAGAAGGAAAAATGAGGAAGAGAATGAAAGAACAAGGGGAGGAGGAAGTCAGGGGCCAGCCACCCAGAGTCAGAGTGAAAGTAAGATATTCAGAAGTAAGAAAAGAAAAAGCTCAGAGGCAAAAGGTAGTCGGGATCATTTAAGTTAAGAAAATCTGGCAAGAAACAGGCCAAGCTAAGGCTGGGCAACTATAAGAAAGAATAAGACTCCATGTGTTTTATTTGGGAGCTGGGTGGTGCCCCCCCCCCAAAGAGTTAAAAGACATAAAAGTCAAAAGAGTAAAAAACAACCCACAACATGACAGATAACAATCTTCCAAATAAACAGTGGCCCAGGCCTTACAGGACTGACCACTACAGCAACCCATAAGCCCACATGGAGCCGTCACACTGGACACCACAGAAGGAAAAGCAGCAGTTAGTAATGGCTGGGATACAGGACCACTTGAGCAGATGGACACACCAATAGAGAGAGATCTTAATTCACAACATTAAGATAGTCTACCTTGCAGGACAGAAATTCACCTTGGGCAATATCCTACTGTACTGTGGATGCCGCCACTGCTTTACAGTTGATTGATAATTCAGGCACAGGAGAAATATCTTGCTGGCTTTGTTACATCTATCCAGACATTAGTACTGTGTTATCAAGAACAAATTGTATACGACCTCCCATTGGGACTCGTGCTAGAGGGAAACACGGTTTAAAATATGTGAAGGTAAGTATATTCTGGTGCACAGCACTAATACACGAAACTGATGAGTAGTCATTATTTACTTGTGAAGTTGGTAGAATTTTTTTAAAAAAAACTCATATATAAATGTTTCATTTGTCTTTTCATTGAAATTTGACAATTTTAAAGTGTATAAAAATTCGAGTGGGATAGGTATATAAAATGAGAAAAGATCGTTTTAAAAAATAAATTAATTTAATAAAAAATTCAACTATCAAAACAGTTGAGAATATGTTATAAATTACCTTATATAGATGAAATTAAACTTAATAACTTTAAAAGCTTAATAACAACTCAGTGGCTTAATATTACAAAATAGGTTCATCTATCTGGCTACTTACTAACCTCTTTATGCTTTAAAATTCATTTTCCTGAGGCTGGAGAGATGGCTCAGTGGTTAAGAGCACTGGCCGCTCTTCCAGGAGACCTAGGTTCAATTCCCAGCACCCACATAGCAACTTACAACTGTCTGTAACTCCAGTTCCAGGGGATCTGACACCCTCACATAGATATACATGCAGACAAAACATCAACGCACATAAAATAAAAATAAATAAATCATTAAAAAATAAAATTCATTTTCCTTTTATGAATACTTATGGTATTTTGTTTATTAGAATCTAAAATAAATCAATCTAGGAATACAGAAAGGTAAGATATATGTACTTATTTTCAGTATTTATATGAGACAGTAAATGTGTTTGAGAAAACATATTTTATAGAAGTACTTTGGCCAGGTTAGACGCTCAGTAGACAAAGGCATTTGCTGCCAACACCGATGACCTGAGCTTGGTCCCCAGGACCCGCATGGTAGAGGAAAGAAAGAACTAATACCCACAGTTGTCCTCCTGTAGCAAGAATTCTAATTGGTCTTAATAATAAAAGCCCAGAGTCAGATATAGCGATTAATGCTGAAAGATCAGAGAAGCAGAGCCACGGGCAACTAGAGTTCTTACCTCTACCAATGCTCAGAGCAAGAGGGTCAATCCTGTCCCTACGAACCTTAGACTGAATGCTGTCTCTATGACACCTCAGATGGCATCTCCCTCTACGACATCTCAATGCGTCTTTACAAAACTTTAGATTGCATACTCAGACTGAATCCTCAGACTGCTGCTGTCTCTACAAAACCTCAGACCACATCCATCTATCTCTACGAATCCTCAGACTGCTCTGGGCTTGTGACTTCTCCTACCTTATATTCCTCTCTCCGCCCAGCCATATCACTCCTGTCTCCACCTCCCTAGTGCTGGGATTAAAGGCATGCAATTCTAAGAGCTGGGATCACCTTTGTGTAAATTCTGTTTCTCTTTTAGATAGATTCATTCTCATGTAGCCCAGGGTAGCCTTGAACTCCAGAGATCCGTCTGTCTCTGTCTCCCTGGTATTGTCTCCCTGGGAGTGCTGGGATTAAAGGTGTGCTCCACCACGGCCTGGCCTCTGTGGCTAATTAGTGGCTTAGCTCTGCACTCTGATCTTTAGGCAAATTTTATCTGTTAGATTACAAATAAAATATTACTACATCCTCTGATCTTTATATGTGCACACACATGAATATAGACACACACATACACACACACATCTAAATAAATGTAATAAAATATAAAGTACATAATATGGTTTTGCACTTTAACATCTTTAGTTACTAGTGTATATAAGGGGTACCTCAAGATGCCTTTCATAGGACCCGGGCAAAATCTCTTCTTTACAAACAAATGAACTAGAAAAAGAACACGAACAAAGGATAGGGATAGAGATATAAAAAGAGCTAGTCAAAGAGAAAGTAAAAAGGAAACCATGTGGAGATGCTATGAGAGACAGGGACTGCTTGTCAGCAAGGAGTCACCATATAGGCAGTGATCTTCTGGGTCCTGTGCTGTGTCTGCTAGTGCAGTGGGAGGGACTCCCAACTCTGGGTTTGGGCTGTGGGCCAGCAGGGGGAGGGGGGAATGGCTTAGTGAGCCAGTCAGGTGTTCCTAATCCCTAACCTGGCACTGCTTTGTCTGACCTCAAATGACTTGCCTCTGGTCTCATTTTACCCGTTAATAAAATGGGGTCAGTCCAGGCGCTGGCAGTGGTAAAAATGACTGAGATACTGTAGGAAGGGTTCTAGGTTGGAAGCGAGGGAAATCTGCTGCTCTCCAGCACTCTGGCCAGGTGAGACAGCAAACCCACTTAACTTACTCACCTGGTGCTTTGTGCAGAAAATGTGGAAATAAGGCCAAACTGCTATTTTACAAAACTGTTGTGAAAATTAGATGACATCAGCTGCTAAGGACCTAGTTCATAACAAAGAAACAACTGTTCCTGGGTTAAGGGAAGAGGAGTAGGAGTAAACACATGCTATATGAAAAATTTTTAAATTAAAAATTAAATTTTGAAAAAAGTATATGAACACAACTGGTTTTCTTCATGATAATAATAAGTTTTGATGAGATACTTTTCATCTCCTGTCAATAATTTGGCTATGCTGGAAATATAGAAGCTGTCAGTGGTGGGTGGTTTAAAACTCCTTTCCTAATTCAGATGTGAGGCGTACCACCCCTTGCTTATTGGTAATAACGATACTAACTCATAGGCTTTTTTGAAAGGAAGGAAAGAAAGATACAGGCACTTCCAAAACAGTACCAGCCAACACACTCCTAGAAAGCCACAGTGTGATGACTCAGGGCCTACGAAGAGTAATGGATGAATGGTCTCCTGCCCCACAAAGGGGTGGAACAGCTTGTGGTGACTCTAACTATTATCCGCGAGGGCAGGAGATGCGAAGGTGGGAGGAAACGGAGGCCGATGACCACAGTCTGATGAATGCAGAAAAGGGAATGACTTTCTTAAATTAGCGACATGGCCTGCATGTTCAAGATCTGAGGAAGGAAATGTGAGAAACTGCCTTAAAACAGGGCAGAAACTATCAAGGAAGGGCTATTTTTAAGACTGTAAAACCCACCACTGTGTTTAAGAGCTCACAAGGGGTCACGTGGTGCCTTGGTAGGTGAATGGCTTTAAGAACCGGCAGGAAGATGGAGAGCTTGAGCTCCAGCTGTTAAGTACGCCCAATAGCAATAAGGGAAGGAAAGACAGACACAGGCAGAAAGACATGAGGGGAGATGCGAACTAGACTCCACGTCAAATGGTCTCGCTACAAGATCAACCACGTTCATATCTGCTCACTACTGCTTATATTTTAGAGCTAAAAACATCTCTCAGCTCATTCCTTAGTAACTAAGAAACAATGCATTAGAAATATAAAATCATGAAACTTAAGTGAAACTAACATTTTGGGGATCTAGAAGTAAGTAATTTCTAGTATAAAAATGAGGTTTACATTGGAGAACGTCTGTGAAAGTATATTATACAGATACAAGTGCTGTTTCAAAGGGATATATGGCCAAACATTTTATAAATGCACACCGTAAGAATAAATGTTTCAAATCTACTATTTTAATGCGTATGACTATAAGAAAGCAATGATTTAAAACAAAATAATACTTACCAGGTAAAATATTTAAATAGTTTCTCTCAGAATTCTTGGATTTATCATCGCTTCCTCCATTTTGGTTTCCAGAATCTATTCATAAAGAAAATATAACACAAAGGATTATTGCCACATATGAAAATATATTAGCCCTACTCCTTCAGGACAACCACAATAGCAAAAGTGGGCTGTGTGCCTCCACGTGCCAGGCATTCTGCTCCGTGCTTCACATGCAACCTAGGAATCCATAAGCTCCGTGAGCAGATGTGGATGTGGGGAACGGTGCTCTCCTTCCTTCCCTCCTCTGCTCTCTTCCCCCTCACTTCCTTTTTTCCTACCCATGGTTAGGCTCGGGGGCGTGCAAATGCTAAGCATGTGCACTGAAACTGAGCACATCTCCTCATTTTATATACAAGAGAAGAAAGGCTTCGGTAACTTGTTACATAAGCTGGGCGACACAGATAAGAGGTGGGACCAGCCTTGACCCCACATGGTCTCAACCACATTAGACTTGCCAACACTCTAGCTTCCTTGTGAGAGTTCAGGGCACTAAGTTAGCTGCACATAAAATAACTTCATTAGATAGCTATGGTGTGGCCATTTTTATTTTTAGATTCTGACTCACTGTTGCTGATATAACCTGCTCTGGACCAGATAGACAGCTAGCAAAATCAAGAATCATTTTATATCCAGCACACTCATCTGATATTATATACAACTGATCTCAAGCAGATGTGTGATAGTGTTTCAAGCAGGACTTTTTCAATCAATAGTAGTTTTTTTTCTTTTTTTTTTTTTTGAGGCATGATATTTTTCTTAGAAGGATAAATGTTGGTTGAGAGACATTTTGACTGAACATCCATTATTAAGACTGAACACATTATTTACATACTTTAACAAAAGATACTCCTGGATTTTATGAGAATTCTCTTACAAATACAAAAAGAGTACTATCTTTCAATGTAGTTGTCTTTTAGAGGCTATCTACTTATTCAGATTGAATTTAAAACTATTTTATAATCTATTTTTGAAATGGCATTCCATATTAGAAAACAGTAAGACCTTCAAATAACTAAACAGTATATACCAAAACATCAACTCTAAAACATTATCTGAACACACCTAACTTAATAGAGTGACCTAGTACTATGCTAACAAAGTGACGTACACCACTGTGTCTTATAACCACATACACATTTTTAAGAACTAGTAGAGAATGTGTGAGCAGAGTAAGTAGAAGAAGACTCTGAAATGTCTGAACAAATATTTTGTGTAAGAGAGCAGAGTCTGGCAATGGGCATGCTTCAGATAAGCAGTGGGTCACAGCAAAGACTGCAAGGAACAAATGCTCTAATTCTGACCGTCCAAGGATGAACAAATACTCCCTTTCAAAAAACAAGACCCAGGAACACACACCAATTGTTTGTCCAATGCTAAAAGTTAGCCCCGAAAGCCTACATACAAGTAACATTATATGTACTCAACAGGTTATATTTGGGGATATATATGTATACAAATACATATACGCATACAATAACAACTCATGGAAAAAGACCTTGAATTTGAAGGAAAGCATGGAGGGATATATAGGAGCATTTGGGGGGGGGGAACTTAATTAAAATACAATCTCAAAAAAAGGAAAAAAAAAAGAAACAGAACAGTTCACAGTCCACTCTCCTGTCCATGTTTTAATGAATAATGTCTTTCATGGTAACACAGAGAGGTGACTTTTATTTAAATATATATATACACACACACACACACACACACACACACATATATAATATTCATAAGACAATCTTTGGCTTTTATCATGGACTGTAGAAATATAATGAATGTAACAACCACAGTAGAAAAAAAATGAATGAAATAGAATAAACAAGTACTTGTATATCATGTCACAAGTATGATGAACAAATATGTAGACATGTGCAGAAAAAGAATACTCAGCAAGTGTTTTTCACAAGACTGTACTATAGCATACAAGTGCCTTTATGAGTCTGAGGGAGGAAGATCCCCAATTCAAGGCTAGCCTGGGCTACAAAGTGAGTCCTGGGAAAGCTGGGGCTATACTGAGATCCATCTCAAAGCAAATGAACAAACAACAACAAAAAAAAAGAGCTGTCTTTTATAAAAATGACTCATTCTACTGACTCATTTAAATCACAATGTAGCTGCTATAACAAGAACAAAACACCATGCCGCATGCAGGCTGCCTTAACTACAGGTGGTCTAAAAACTTCCTGCTATGTACAGCACATTATCTCTCATCTAAAGACTCAAAATCCTCCTCTTCTCCCACACTTATATCAATCTTCATGTGTGTGGTCACTGCTAACAATGACATTAAAAATATTCATGGAAGGAGCAGCCAAAGGGGGAAAGAGAAGGGAAAGCTGAGTATGGTGGAGGGAGAGGGTAACAGGATGGGAGGCCACACTGAACTTCTCTGCGAAGCCCTTTGTTAGGATTGCTTTCTTGTGATTTCCTCCTGATCCTTGGCATGGCTCTGAAATGTAATACATGTCGCCACAGCAGAGCCCCAATTACCGTTGGTAAAGCGATCAATCAGGGAGCAGGAGCTGGCATTGTGAATAATGAGTGGAGTACATGTGCCCTGCGACCACAGACATGCTTACTCCATGATTCATGCACAGTGTTATTCATGCTACTAACAATGAAAAGAAGAAGAAATACCTGCTACTAGGAGAGGGACGAGAACCTGCAATGCATCACTACACAACAGCAAAGACACAAAGGGGCTTTCTAGACTGATAGATGACCTCTTGGGCAGTCCTAGTGCAAAAGCCGCATATGGAACAGTGTGCATGGAAAGTGTCTGTGTATAAAAACGAGAACTCGCTACAACATGCTTCTGTACACATGAATGTGTCTGGAAGGCACAGGCAGGACAGCACAGAAAGGTGGGCAGCGTCCACTTTCATCTGCAGTTGTCCTTTCTGTGCTTTCAGTTACCCACCATCAACTGTGGTCTAGAAACATCAAACAGAAAATTCCAGAGATAAATAATCCACAAGTTTTCAGTAGCCTGTCATTCAAAGTGACAAGATGAAGTGTCACGCCATAATATACTGTTCCATTTAGGACATGACTTGCCCCCTTGACCAGTGTATTCAGTGGGCATTCAACCTGCCCATGGGTCAGCTGGTAGTTTCCCTGTCAGATCAAATGTCAGAAACACAGCATGCTCAAATAGCTTTTGCTTTGCTTAACAGTAGCCTAAAAGTTTGAGACCAGTGAAGGGACAATTCAGATGTGCCAAAGAGAAGTCACTGGAGTGCTTCCCTTGGGTGAAAGGCGAAAACGTACAGGTTATGTATGAGTAGGAAAAACTATAGTGTGCAAGTACTGCCCATGGTTCGCAGCATCACCGTCCAGAAGGAGGAGTCGACAGTCTAGAAAAGCTGAGCTAACAGAACAGAGTAACAGCTAACACAAAACAAGGAAAGGAAGAATGGGGAGATACTGGTCAAGGGAAATGAAGTTTGTTCCACAAGTTGAGTAAGTTTCGGAAAGCTGATGCATACTGTTGTGATACGACTATGAACCATATATGTGAGGAACTTATCAAGACACCCACGTGTTCCCACCACAGGTAACCAAGCAGCAGCTTATCAGGTGATAGGCATGTTGCTTAGTTTGAGGTAACTAGTGTTGCTATGACTTGAAGACAAAATATCCCTCACTGGATCATGATTTAAATGCTGCCTTCTCAATGGTGGCACTATTTTGGAAGGTTCTAGAAATTCAGAAGTTGGGGCAGAGGTGGAGGAAGTAGGATGACTTTTAAGTATACTTCAATAAATTTAAAAACATTTCCAATAAGATTTCTAAGTAATTTGAAAAAATACTATATTGTGCATAAATATAGCGGGGAAACTCATTCAAAGACATCGGTTTTCTTCTTTTTCTTTTAGAACCAAAATGACTCTGAAGTCAAAAATTCAAAGGGGGACCAGGGTTGGGGAATACCCAGCAGAACGGCATATGTGCAGCAATCCCTAGAATGGCAGGAAAATAAGAACAAAGAAGTTTGTTTTGTTCTACTTTAACTTTGATTCAGTGCCCTTTGTAGTAATGATTCTGTACATTTGAGAATGCTTGGCTCAGAAGAACAACTTTTTGAAAGCTCTTATTTTAACTCTGGCAATGAAATATTAAAATGGATTTTACTAAGGACCCTGAAAGAAAATCAACCAAAAAAAAAAAAAGATGTTAAGTTTTGTTCTTAGATTTTCTCTCCCAAGTCCCACCACTACGAACTTCTGTGGTCATCTCTGGGCCAGCAGTGTGGCCCTAGTACTAGAGCAAGCCTTACTGACCCCGGGCCTCTTTGCACTTGCTCCTGCGCTGGGTTCTTGCGTACAGCGCCACCTGCTGGACAACCTCCAGCTGCTCTTCAATCCGAGGGAAGTGGAAGTCTGTGCATTCTTGGCAAACTGTGGCAAAATCTAAGGGATTCATCAAATATTTATCAATTATGTATAGAAAAACAGATCTGAGAGAGTTAAGGTTGTAAATATGAGTTGTTTTGTAATAATCGCACATTCAGCTAGAGTACAAAACTTTCATCAACACTTTACTCATAGGAATCAATAATCAGTAAAGAACAGACACTTTGATTAAAATCTATCCCTAACCTCTGTAAATGATAACAAGGGTGGTTCCATTTAAGTTGGAAGGATCAGGAGACACTGGGTAAACTAAGATCGCTCAGCAGAACTTGCTTCTAAAATGAAAAGTGCATTTATAGCTGAATTATTATTTTTACTTCAGGCTGAAATAGGAATCTTCTATAGGCATCCATACATGATACTTTAGAAAGACTAACATCCCTGAACTGTTTATGAATGTCGAAGTAGTAATGCTGTGGGGTAATGCTTTTGTCCCCTCTAAAGATTTGTTACTTGTATTGGTTTAGTAAAATGCTGACTGGCCAGTAGCCAGTGAGGAAGAATAGGTAGAGTGATCACAACAGGAGAATGCTGGGAAGAGGAAAGGCAGACATGCAGTCACCAGCCAGATGCAGAGGAAGCAAAATGAGTATGATTACTGGAAAAGGTATCAAGCCATGTGGCTAAACATAGATAAGAATTACGGGTTAATTTAAGTTGTAAGAGTTAGTTAATAATAAGCCTGAGTAATAGGCCAAACCGTTTATAGTTAACATAAGCTTTTGTATGTTTATTTGGGACAGAATGGCTGCAGGAACAGGTAGGACAGAATCTCCTGTCTACGTCAGGGCTGCATATTTTGTTTGCTGTTCACTTTATCTGAAATGGCCAGGATGGGGTATGTGTGAGACTCAATGGATTTAAATACTGCAGCCATTTAAAACTGCCAAAAATTCCTTCATAAAGATTATTGTATTTGAAAACTGGGTACAGTGGATCATATCTGTTATACCAGCACTTAGAAAGCAGAGGCAGGAAGACTTCTTTGAGCTCAATATCAGCATGGGCTACAGTGTGAGAGTCCTCTACAAAAATGTCATTACAAAGAGAAACCGAATGGGATAAGTATTTCAACATCGACTTACCTCTTTTGATGCCACTATATGAATTAATTCGATTATCTACTAGTAAAACTAGGCCACAGAGAGATGTGGAATAAAGAGACAGGGCTGTCTGGAGCCGATGGAGTTTCACACCACTTCCATGAGTTCTTTTATGCTTGCAGAAGTCAAGCATATCTGCTCTCAGCAATCGCAGATTGTGCATGGTCTTCAGTTGGGCTCCTGGGGATGAACAACAGTCACAGAGAGATCCTGAAACGCTACAAAAATCCTATAACAGATGCAAACTTCTGTGGCAGGACTCTAGATAAATCCATGTTCCAAATAATAACTAAAAATGGGCCCTTTAACTTCCCATCTTAATAGATGTCATAATTCATCTGCAAATATAGAAGCTAAAATACAAAACACATAGCACACAAACGCTAGGCTTTCGTGGAGAGGGACATAACTTGAGATTAGAAATAATGGGTATATTCTGCTCACATGCAGGAATTTGCACTCCTGAGGAAAAGTTCAGAAGTTCCTTATAGCTAGTAAAAGAGCTTCCATACCCAAATGAATGGTGAAGCTTTCTTCCAGCTTCCTCTGCTCCTCGTAAATCCTTCCAATGGCATCTGTAGATTCTCTGAACTGGCTTGGCTGAACTTTAATTTCTTCACTGAAATTAATACAATTATTGTGATTGTATCATTGCATATTCATAAGAATGTTTTTCTTAGAGGAAAATAAGTTCACCATGAAATGGGAGAGAACTGAACAGCTGGCAGCAGAGCTTAATTTATTCCTAAACTCATCCTTAATCCATGGTGACAAGTAAGACCATAAGCAGCAACAGGTTCTAAAAGCCCCACTTGTCCTTGCATTTCCTCACAGTAAGCAATGCAGATTACTCTCTTCAGTCATTACAATATCAGCTAACACATCACCACTTAATATTTCCTAGCGGCTTAAAAATGGCTCAGGGATCAACTGATGACTAATATTAATACCTTTAAAAGTCATATTGAACATATTTAAAAATACATACTAGTTCTCATGCCAAGGCTGATTCTAAAAAAATAATAAAATAGATGAGGTGGCAGCAATGAAGATTAAAAATTAAAAACTGGGCTGTAGAGATGGCTCAGCAGGTAAGAGGCCTTGCTTCACAGGTCTGATGACATTAAGTTCTATATCCACACTCATTATGGGAGGAGAAAACCAGCTTCTGAAAGTTGTCCTTTAGTTTCCAGATGCTTGCTCACTTACACCTTTTACACACACAGTGATGATGATTGTAAGGGTACAGCAGTCATAAATCATGTTTTAGTTTTTAAAATTAAAAGGACATATAAGTAATAGAAACTGTGAGGTTCATGTTGATGTGTCCTGTGGCTGCATTTCCGCCAGCCCTCTCCTCTCACTAGACAAGCTCCTTCTTTGCTCTGCTCACTACTGGAAAAGTTTCCCCAAGAGGAGCTATGAGCACATAATAACTACTCAGGTCAAGTCCACGGCACAAGGCAATGAAGGAAACTGAATGGCAAAGTGTGGCATGGTCCTCCGAGGATAAGGACAGCCTGTTTGCATCAATGAGTGCTTGACAAAGGGTGCTGTCATATAAGAAAATCAACAGAAATCAATCTGAAAATGACATCAGAGTTCTGAAAGGTCACGTGCAGGGTCACTTTAGAACAGTTAGGAGCCACAAACTCGTACACCTGAGCTCCTTCCATTAGTCTTCACTAAATGTGTCCAAGGAAACATGGGGACTGGCAAAAAGAGAAGCCTCTCTGAACGACTGACATCTGAGAGCTGATCACAAGGCTGGTGTTGGACAGACAACAGAGAGACAAGGGTGGGGATGTAGGTCCATGATAGATGACTTGACCCACAGTAAGCCTAGTACCAGGTGACAAGAAACAAGATTCCATTGCTGAGAGAAGAGCAATAGCATGGAAGGACCTGCTCCACGGCACAAGTGTGCAAAGACTGCTGGGTGCTGATGGTGCAGCAGTGCGCAGAGGAGACATCCTCCAAGACCGAGTTACAGCCCAAGCTACCACAAACAGCATCCAATTCTACCACAGAAAATGAAGCCAACTGGGCACTGAGTCTAGATGACAAAATTCAAAGGTCTGCTGCCCTGCTGACAAGATATGAACAGCCTCGGTCGTGACTGCCTGTTAACTCCTGCACACAATTACTACTTAGCTAAATATCCTCCGTTCAAGACAGGGTCTTTATTGGGTAGCAATGATGGGGAAGCTCTGTTAACCAATCACACCTAGTTAAGGCGTGGCTACCTGGAGCCCAGGAAGAAAAACTGGGAGGGACCAGGTGTGCACGCGCTCTCTCTCTCTCTGGGTGATTCCCGCCAGACACAGAGGAAGTCGGACTTCCCATTCTTGTGGCGTGAGTTTCCCCTTATAACCATTAAAAAATATAATCGTTATCTTTAAGCTGGCCTGGTTATTTCCTGTATTGAGCTAATTCTTGACATAGCAACTCACTGTGTAGACCAGGCCTCAAAACTCAGAGACCCATCTGTCTCTGCTTTGAGTGCTGGGATTAAAGGTATGCACAGCCAGTCTACAATATGAAGCAGGAGGAAGAAGAGCTGGCTATGGCAGTACATACCTATAACTGAAGCACAGAGAAGGCACAAGACGGACGGTCAAGCTAGCTCAAGCCAGGCTGGTCTACCTGAATGACAAAGTCTGCTTTTAAAGACAAGAGTACTAAAATGAAAAGATAAGCCACAGAGCAGCAGCCCCCATCCACAAAACAAACATCTGATGCTAAACATGCATCCAGAGTACAAACATAGCTTTCACAGCTTGACAGTAAGAAAACATAAAGGAGAGTCATGAATACAAAGTTGTCACAAGAACACTGTTCATCATATTAGCCATCGGGGAACATGAACTTGGAATGAGAGCTCACGGCAATGCCCACCGGAAGAGCTAGTGAGCTGCAGCACAGACACAGAACCGTTGACAGGGGATGGCAAGAGGGGATAGTGCTGAGTATGAAGGCAAAGCGGAAGATGTCATAGCTTGACTGCAGTGACAGTTATATGACAGTCTCAATTCCTTAATCTGTGCACCATTAAAATAGGCAGACTTTACTTCATGTCATTTATCCCTCAACAAACCTAGTTTTCCATGAGCTGAAAACAGAATTTCTGTTGCTTGAGGAAACACCTACCAAGGATAGTAATAGTAAAAGTATTTTGCCCATGGTATAATGACTTAAAGAGCAACTAAAGGCCAGGATTTAGAGTGACTTGACCTACACGTGGAACCTGAAAGCACAGCAGCAAAGGAATAGGTGGCTTTTGTAGCAAGGAACTTTTCAGTTCCCTTAAACCCACTGCCTGCAACACGCTCTACATTTGGATCAGTGCATACATTCATACACGGAAAGCCCAGGGCATGGCATGCTCTGACCCCTGAACCCCACCGCTCTCAAAATGCTGGCCAGGAAGTAATGTAGCTAGGCTGTCTCTAGAAGACAGGAGCAGTTTGGAAACACAGCGAAGCAAATGAGACCATCATATGCAGGAAAGAGGTAATGAAACTGCCATGGGAAGATGGTACCAACTATTCTTGTGTGTGTGTGGTGTGCATGCAGACAAAGCTGTGCACAGGTATGGAGCTCGGGGGACAAACTTAGATCTTCACTTTACCAACTGTGCTACTTCCCAGCCTGCCTTTCTGCATCCATTCATCCCAATACTTACTGAACACTTCACGTGTGCCAGAGTCAAGAGCACTTGGCAAGGAGCTGTGTGGGTATACAAGACAAACAAATAGGAACAAAAGGAAGGGAGGGAGGAAGGGAGGGAGGGAGGAAGGGAGGAAGGGAGGGAAAAAGGAACAGACTTACCCTTGAGGCAAGACTATTGGGAGACTGACATTACATAAAGACAGCCCTTAGCCCGTATCCAAAGCCAGCCCAGGGCTGTACACCAGTGCTTACAGCATGTGTGAGCATGTTCTGGAAATAGGTCTACTGTACTTGATTTTTTTTCTCTTTCTACTTAGTGAGTGTCTGGCATTCATCCAGTCATAGCAAGTGAAATACCATTTAATGAAATGAAAGAAATTGCCTGTAAGTCTACCACTTGGGATGCCGAGGCTGAATTTCTCCGAATTCAAGGCCAAGCTAAGTTAAATGCCAAGTTTGAGGTTAGCAAAACTATATGAGATTCTGTCTCAAAAAAATAAAAAGTATAAAATCTTGAATTTTCATGCCAACATACAGAAACAACTGCGTGCAATTTTAGAATAAATATGTATAGTGATGATCATATACATGAGTAAGAACAACTGATGGTCAATACCTGAGGGAGCTGTTGTTGGGGTTCTTCAAGTCCTGATGAAGTTTTATCACCCATTCCTGATACTCTTGCTTCTGGATAGCTGTTGATTGTTTCAGTTCATTTGACCATTTATTCTCTAAGTCCTAAATAGAGAGCATGCCAACTGGTCAATTTTTTTCACAAGGGAAAGAAGACGTAATTATGTATCTAAAGCCATTATACTTCATTTCACTTACTTGCTGGGATTCAAAATGCTGGGCAGCCAGTGAATTAACATCTTGATCTGTGAGTGATTTCCCCAATTCCTGCATCACCTTTTCCATTTCAATACCTTGTCTAAAAATTAACCAATTAGACACAGTTATCAGCTTTTAGGGTATACAGCCCTTTAGTTCACTGAATAAAATGAAAATATAATTTTTATTTTATAATAGATACTATATCCAGGAATTAAAACTGCATACCTTGAAAATACCGAGTCGTTGAAAATGAATATGTAAATATTGGTGTCAACTGCACCACATATGCAGCCAGATCATGGTCTGAGCTCAGGCATACACGGAAGCACTCTCAGTGACTGTTTAATACTCCCAACCCTTTCTCATTTGCAGATATCCTCAAAGGAAACACTTGTCTAATCCCAGCCTAAGCAGATTTCCCATGTAAGTGTATGATAACTGACTTGAGCTCGATGCTGAAAGTCAGTCTACCCAGAAACTGTCATTTAAGTTTGAAAAGACAAACTGTTAAATCACACAATTACTTTTAAAGAGCAATGTACAATACAACTTGTTTGTTTTTTTTTTTTTTTTTTTTAGCCTACTGCTGATGTAGGAGGTTCATCTGTCTATGTGTTACTTTCATTGGTTAATAAAGAAACTGTCTTGGCCTTTTGATAGGCCAGCCCTGAGGTGGGTGGAGTAGACAGAACAGAATTCTGGAAGGAAGAAAGCAGAGACAGGCAGAAGCCATGAATCTCTGGCCCCAGACGGACGTAGGTTAGGATCTTTCCCGGTAGGCCACAGCCTTGTGCTGTTACACAGATTTAATGGAAATGGGTTAATCAAGATGTGAGAGTTAGCTAATAAGAGGCTAGAAATAATGGGCCAGGCAGTGTTAAAATAAATACAGTTTCCGTGTTATTATTTCCGGGGCTAAGCTAGCCGTGCGGTAGCCATGGGGAACAAAAAGCAGGCCTGCTTGCCTCATCACAACATACTGCTACTATCTTCATTTACCCAAAGAAACAATGTACAGAATGGCCTCCATACGGAAGAAGTGAATCAGTGGTGTTGGAAGGACAGACAGCAGTCGTTTACAGGGGAAAGTAAACGTGACCAGGAAGGCAGGAGGGAGGCTTCTTTACTGCCGTAAACATCCTATTTCTTGGTTGGGTGGTGGTTATAGGGGTCAGCTGTACTGTACTGAGCTGTACTTTCACAGTTTATCATCTGTTCTGACTATATAATATCTCAAACTAAAACTTATCTTCTAACACAAACACATGCAAAGTTTGCTCTAAGAGGTATTTTGAGGGGTTGGGAGACAGCTCAGCTGGATGCCCGGTATTCACAGAAAAGCTAGGGATGGTGGTGCGCATATACAACCCTAGTGCTGGGGAGGCAGAAAGTCAGACCCCTGCAGTCTGGCCAAATAGATAAGCTTCAGGTTTGGTGAGACCCTGTCTCAAAATTGTGGAGAACAAAGACAGAGGAAGACACTCAATAGTGACCAATAGTGACCTCTGGCCTTTACAGATACCACACACACACATGCATTGCACCTACCTACACACATGAACACATCCATATGAACATGTACATACCCACACACATACATACACAGTTAATACAGAAAATTTAAACATATAATAGAGTAGAACACAAACTAAGTTTTACTGTCATTCTAGTTAAGTAAATTGTTCTTAAAATTGAGTTTATTATTAGTCATAACATTAAGGAGGACAGATGCATGTAAAAAATGAAACTCATACAATGTATACATATGAATACTTCAACCTCTTCTGTATCATTCATTCATTATCGTTCAGCTCCCACTTCACTATACACAATGCAGATGATTTCATAAACTTTTTTGTTTGATTTTTTGAGACAAGGTTTCACTATGCAGTCCTGGTGGCCTTGTGCCTCTGCCTCTTGAGAACTGGGATTACAGGTGTGCACCCACACTCCTGGTCTTTAATATTAGAAAGCACAAGGCACCAGGTGAAGATTATGCTTATAAAAGAGTTTTTTAATTTAGAAACAAAAATGTCTACTAAAAACTTAGATACATATTTGCGTTAATATTTTACAAGTGTTCCCTCAAGTGGATAAAAAGTATTATTGCCATTTCTTCTAAAGTTTAAAGAACTATCTAGAATATGGTTCCCAAAAGCAGCAAATTTCTCATAATAAAAAAAGCAAAGAATTAAACAAAGAAAATTTCATGTACATTTATGTTACCTTGAATGTATCCAAAATGCAAGGAGTTTGTCATATAATTAATGACTTAAGAGACTGCCTAGATTAAGTTGAAAGGAAAGTCTTCCTGCTTCAGATAAATGCTAACTATAGACTGTCAGAATACCAGGTATGATAACTCTGGGCACTGGTCCCAGGCAGAGCATGCGCATACAACCTATGTGCACCCTCTGGCATGTGTTCAATCATCTCTAGACCACTTACAACAATAGTGCAATGCAAATAGGTGTTATATTGTTTCTTAGGAATAATTACAAGATTTAAAGCCCAAGAATGCTCAGAATATGCATGACTCTTTTTTTCTTGCATGTTTTTGATTGACAGTTGGCTGAATCCTTAGACAAACGAGGCTCAAAGCCTGGGTTCATTGTTCATCATCATGAAAGAAAAGAAATCCATCTTTAATTATTTTGTATTTCAATTTCTCTTAACTATAATAACCCTTAAAATAAAAAATATTATTCACGTGGATCTCTAGGAGTTCGAGGCCAACCTGGTCTACAAGAGCTAGTTCCAGAGCAGGCTCCAAAGCTACAGAGAAACCTTATTTCGAAAAACAAAACAAAACAAAGCAAAAAAAAATACTGTTTACATACTGTAGTCTTAATGTTTGCTACTGTGAGGCTAATGAGAGACAGGAGCACATAGCATCTCGTTTTAAGTTGACTTCTTTAGTATTAATATTAAACCAGTCACAAAAATCAAGTGTGATTTGGTCTTAAGCTTCCACAACAAGAACCACTGTACACCACTAATACTAAAATTCATCTTGGTGTCATGTATACCCATAGTCTTAAATAAATGCTCTTAAGGTAATAAATAATGTGCTAAATCAAAATGGACTACGTAGGAGGACATGCTGATTTACACCACAGTCTACAGGACAGGAGGGTGCAGCCTGGAAAGCCACATGTTAACATAAAGATGCTGGCAGCTTTTTACTCACTCTGGAACGTGCATCCCAGAAAGCACGGTTTGTGTGCTGTATTAGGAAGACTATACAGAAGAATTCAAATCTGATTAAAATATCCTGGGGCAATGCTATGGCTATTTCTATTTTTTTCCTAAGGTGGGAAGCTTGCAAGATAATTGAAAGACACCACAACCCAGAGAAAGGCAACCAGAGGAGGCTGAGCAGAGACAGAACAGGGGGAGCGGCTAATGGTTGTTGTATAGGAGCGGCGGGGCTGCATCCCCAGCACCCCGGCTGCCTGGCTAGCTTATGCCCCGAAATAACAACACACAAATTGTATTCATTTAAACACTGCTTGGCCCATTATATCTATCCTCTTCTCGGTTAGCTCTTGCACCTGGACTAGCCCATTTCTAATAATCTGTGTAGCATCAGTCTTACTGGGAAAGATTCTAGCCTACGTCCATCCTGGGTCTGAGCTTCATGCGTCTGCCTCAGAGAGCAGAGCTATCACCTCTGTCCGGGAGAGGGGGCTCCAGAGAGCAGAGCTGTCGAGTCTGAGCTCACTTCCTCTTCCTCCCAACATTCTGTTCTGTTTACTCCTCCCACCTATGTTTTAACCTATCAGGGCCAAGCAGTTTCTTTATTGCTTAACCAATGAAATCAACAGATTGATATATGACACTCCCACATCACCTGGGTTTTCTCACCTGCAAAATGGAGATACTAATTGTAGAGCTGTGGTAAAGATCAAAGCAGACAGCTCATTCCACGCACTTTGCTTGGTATTTCAATTTTATGATAGTGCAAGCAGGCTGTGCTACAGGCTATTATATTTCACAATGTAGCATTTAATTATAATAATACGAGAAACGAGCAGTACCTCTCTCGCAATTTTTTCAGCTCCACATCTCTTTCACCAATCAGTTCTGAGATGCTAACAAAGTAATTATGTTCCAGATTCAGGAGCGTTTCCGAGGCTGGGGAATGGATCAGGTCATGGTACACATCTGCAAAGTCTTCATCCCAGTTAGGCTCCTCAGGCCTCGCATGCTCTAAGGTGGTCTGTGAGATAACACACACATTCAGTCACACCAGGGCATCTCTGCTCAACATGCTACTAGAGAAGAATGGATTTTATGACTGTTGTTTTGCACACCAGACAGGGACACAGAGAGCCGCATTTACACACATGTAGATGTTACTGTAGGATTGTCTGAATACAAAAAAGAATACAGAGAGATGGAATCTAGGGGGATGAATGAGATATTCCTACAGAGCAAGGGACAGAAGTGCCCACAATAGTAAAGAAAGTCAGTATGCCATGACTCCATTTCCACACACAACGCACACGTGTGCCTGCACAAAGGGATGAGCAACAAAACTAATGGTAGCTATGCCAGGACAGAGGAACTTCTCACAACTACTACCTTAAGCTGTATTTGAATGTATTATAAATGTCTTAGGTTTACTAAGGCTGTGATGAAACACCAAGAGCTAAGCAACTTGGGCAGGAAAGGGTTTATTTCACTTACAGTTCCATAAAAACAGTTCATTATCAAAAGAACTGAGGGCAGGAACCTGGAGGCAGGGGCTGATGCTTACTGGAGGAGGGGTGCTGCTTACTGGCTTGCTCCTCATGGCTTGCTTGCTCAGCCTGCTTTCTTATAGACCCCATTACCACAATACCAGGAAAGGCACCACTCACAAGGGGCTGGATTCTCCCATCAAAGAAAATGCCTTGTCTATAGCCAGATATTATGGAGGCCTTTTCTTAATTGAGGTTCCCTCTTCTCAGATGACTTTAGCTTATAAATCAAGTGGACATAAAACTATCCAGCACAATAAATATAATTTGTGTAAATTAATCTATAATCAGAAGAAAACATACTCTAAAAAGATTCACAGTTAGTAAATAAAATAATAATGTGTATGACATCTTGGACTTCATGAAATAGGCCATATTAGTTGCAACCCTACAGAGAAACAATGACAAAGACAAAGGAGAAAAGAGGAGCACCCAGAGCTGAGAATGACATGAGCTTGGATGGCTCGCTTAGGCTATCAGATGAGATTCAAGGCATCAGCTCAACTGGAACTTCAAAAAGAGTAATGTAAACATGCAAACATTGTAAAGGAATGTAAATATGCTCCAATAAATATGTAGGATAAAGTTGCTTCATGTTTCCAAAGGTACTATTACAAACATATTTCATTAAAAAATTTCATTTCATTAAAAAAAATGGTGTTGGGACCGAGAAATAATTCATCGGGTAAAGGCTCTTGTCATCAAGTATAACTATCTGGGTTCAATCTCTGGGACCTACATGGTGGAAGGAGAGAACCAATTCCCTTAAATTGTTCTCTGACTTCCACAAGTGCTTGATGGCACAATCAACACACACACACACACACACACACACACACACACACACACAAATACTCTGCCTCAGGACACATATTGACAACAGCATGTAAGCACAGAAACAAGAACATATGATGTGTATTACTGGTTTACAAAAAAAATGGGTTCTACACTTTGTTTCATATGACTTCAGCAATTAAAACATCCTCCTAAAGTCTGTAATAGTTTTGAAATATATACTGTGACCTCTGTCTTACCTCAGCGTAAGCTTTGGCCCATGCACTTGCCAGCTGGTGCAGATCTACTTCACCTGATTTAACAGCATCCAAGGACGCTTCAGCCTCTCTGTCATGGTCTCTGAGGGATTCTTCTTCTACAAATTGGCTCAGAGCTTCTTTTAAGTCTGTTCAAGGGATAACAAATGCCATCTTCAGCAAGATGTACACAGTAGGGGACAAACATCCAAATGAATGGAGTTTGGTCCCTGGGCTCATATGATGGATGCAGGGAGCTGACTCTCCTGAAAGCTGTCTTCGGACTGCCACACATGTGCCATGGTATGAGCACACACAAACACAGAGATGCATATAAACAAAGTGAATAAATGTAGACAGAAGTTTCTGTCCCACCCAGTTCCAGTTTATAATTAATATAAACCTCTGTGTGTTTCTTTGGTTCCTGTGGGACCATCTACAAATAAATATGTAATTTTTTTAAAAACTTAAAAAGTCATAATTCACATTTCTTCCAAGCTTACAAGTTCCCAGTGATACCTTTTGTCTAGGATGGGACAACCTTCTGAGAACTACCAATGGGGTAAGTATCTGCCCTTTCTGTGTCCTGGTTGATAGTTTATATGATGACAGTGATAGAATGCACCTAGCTGTTTACCAGTCTAGGTGACCCTGGGACAACGGGGCCTAAAAATGGGGCAGATTAAAGTCTCATGCAATAGTCAACTTATTCAGAGCATCAGACAGTTTATACGCTGAGGATTAAGAAGAGTCGCCTGAGTAAAGTGTACAATCACAAGATGAGCCACACGTAATGAAAACGTGCTTGCTAAAAGATGTGTACGATATCAAGAGCCGAAGTAAACTCACTCCTATCTGCCACACCTGGGAGGAGCACAAAACACATTCTAGGAACAGTTCTGTGTTTTGAAGAAACTGGGGTCACACGATTATTGTTTTCTTGGCGTTTTCTCACAAGGTTTCAGAATTTTCCACACAGCTTCATTTAGGAACTGCATTTTAACAACAATCCAAGCACCCAACGACCCTATTAGAGGACCCAACAGTCCTCTATTTGAAAGTTCCCCAGTTGTGAAAAAGGTCATGGCCCTTTAAAAATAACTTCAAACAGATGACTATGTAAGCTAGACAGACAAAGGTTGTTCAGCAGCAGGTGCCCTTCTGTTCCTTAGTGCCTCAAAACCATGAGCAAAGGAAAAGAGAGACTAGTTTAGAACCAAAGCTCCACCATGCAAGCGATGCTGAGACATCCGGCAAACCTCCACAACCAAACTCAGAGGTTAAGCACTGTAGCTAATTTTTATTATGCCAACTAATTCAGATACTACATTACTTCATAAACAATTACAGTACAAACAAAAGTTCCAAAAGTGCTGGCAAACAGTTTTTCTTCTTGAAGCTTAACTTGTATTTTCCGTTGTGTGTTCTACACAGGGCTTCTTAAACTTTTTCACTCCTAACTCACTACTCACCACAGCAAGTTTTATATGAATCACATATTTAGATTCCTGGTTGGATTTGCTAACTTGACATATCAGTCATCCAAGAGAGACTCTCAAATGAGAAAATGTCTCCATAAGATTGGATGTAGATAGGCCTGTGAAGCATTTTCGTGATTAATGACCGATGTGCGAGGGCCTAGCCCACTATGCACAGTATGACCCCTGGGCTGGTGGTCCTGGGTACTGTAAGAAAGCAGGCTGTGCAAGTCATGGAGAACAAGCCAGCAAGCAGTGTTCCTCCATGACCTCAGCTTTACTTCCTCACTCCAGGTTCTTGCCTTGAATTCCTGCCCTGACTTCCCTGATGATGGACGACGGCTACTGTAGCCCTTTGGTCATGATCTTTACCACAGCAGTATAGACCTAACTAAGACAATAGGTACACAAATCAAACACTTACTGTTTAAAACCATAAAGAAATTTGTTACTGTGGTGTATATAAATCCACTTTTCATTGCAGATTAAAGGCTGAGGAAATGGCTCAGTGAATAAAGTGCTTGCCATCTAAGTATGATTTCAATCTCAAGGGCCTATGGAAAATGTTGGGCACAGCAGTGTGAGCCTATAATTCCTGTGCTGGGGAGGAGAGACTGGAGGGCTGGATCCCTAGGGCTCACTAACCAGCAAATCTTACTGAATTGGTTAGTCCTAGGCCAGTGAAAGACCCTTCATCAAAAAAAAAAAATGAAAAGGTGGACAACAATAGAGGAAGACCTGACACAACTGTCCACCTCAACATACACACACACACACACACACACACCTCACACACATACACACACACCTCACACACACACACATACCCACACACCTCACATACAGCCACACATACACACCTCACACACATACACACCTCACACACATACACACACACCTCACACACACACACATATCCACACACCTCACACACATACAGCCACACATATTCCCACATCCACCTACACACCTATACCCCACACCCAATACCCCCATATACATACACACACCCCTACACACCCATATCCTACACCCAATAACTCCCCACATCCCCCAGACATACACACTCCCACACACATACACCCCCCCACTTACACACTCCCACACATACACACCCACACACCCCACACACATACACACACCCCACACACATACACACACCCCACACACATACACACACCCCACATACATACACACGAAGACTAAAACAAAGATGTGTACTAATGAAATGGATGGGCTTGTTCATTTTTACACAAACAATTAAATCTTGGCTGAAGAGTTAAACTACAGGATTTAGAGTATCTTTAATATTTTTTATCTTAATTTTAGACTTGTCAATAACAAGAAGGCTGTTTTTCATGAACATGTAGTATAAAATGGCAAACACATGTTTAAGGGCATTTCAGAAACTGCAATTCTGTCTTAATTTCATATCAAAATTTATTAAACAAATTTTTATAAAACTAAAGTCAGCAACTAAAGCAGCAATTTTGAAAATTAAATATTCAGGAGCCAAGGAAATGACTCAGCAGGTAAAGAAGCTTTAGATCCCAGAACCCACACGATGGAACAAAAGAACCAACTCTGCAAATGGTCTATCTTCACAGGCTTTGGGGCACACATTGCTCTGCATCCACAATAAATAATAAGCAAATGCAATAAAAATTGTTTCAAAACTCAAAAATTCTAGCTAGGCAATGGTAGTGCAAGCGTTTAATCCCAGCACTCTGGAGGCAGATGGATCTCTTTCAGTTCGAGGCCAGCCTGGTCTACAAAGCGAGTTCTGGGACAGCCAGGACTGTTACAGAGAAACCCTGTCTCAAAAAACCAAAACCAAATCAAAACAAAACAAAAATCCCTCAAAGATTCCAGCACAATACAATCTAAAGACATAATAATTTAAAGCTTCGGTGTTAGGAATGAAGAGAGGAAAATCCTAAACTCTAAGCTTTCCACAATTAAACCATTATTTATATAAGAACAGAAAACTGTACATACTGCAAACATACTGCAGTTCCTCACAACAGTCTCAGCTCGGAGCCAGGATGCTGTGGGCAGCAGTCACCAGAGAAGCAGACCACGGTGGCATCAGCAGCACAGTGTGCATGCTGTATGCACCATGAGTCCACTATACATCTGAGTTTGAATGGACTTTCAGTCCCTTGTGTTTGAGAGCCTCCCCCTGTTGCCTTATCTTTCAGGATCCTAACATTCAGTTGTGCAATCCTACAGGTCCCATCCCAAGTTCAAGAACCTGTGATCTATCAAGAAACTTCCAAGGGCAGCGACTAAGGAGCACAGAAGACCAGGCCTCACCATTCTCTATGAAGCAGGGCAGATTGTGCAGCAACATCAGACGTCCGTGCAAATGGCTGACATTCTCGTCCACGGGAAACCTGAGGGGCACTCTCAGTTCGAAGCGCTCATTTCCCACCTTGAATTTGTACGCGAATTCCCTTTCCTTGTTGTAGAATCTTTCTCGGTTTTTCTTCATATTCTTCAGTGGGATTTCTATAGAATGAACAAAAAAAGCCATGAGCCAACGTCCACAGGAAACACGTTTCACTGTGAATCTTGAAGTAGTTAGGTTGCTGCCCCACTACTGTAAGACACAGCCCAGCAGCACGTAGACCATGCGATTAGGAAGTATTCCAATTTCTACGTAACTTCCATTTCATTTTAGACACGCTCTCACTGTGCAGCCCAGGATAGCTTAGGACTCACTATGTAGCCCAGGCAAACTTCAAACACTTAATCTTCCTGCCTCAGTGGCCCCTAACCCCCAAGTGCTGAGATTATAGGTGCGCACCACCACAAGCAGACTATTCTAGTTATTCTTGTTATTTCTGCACACTGATTCTTCATGACAAAAATAAAATGCTTCTTCTTCCTCTTTTAAAATGAAAAGTTATTTTAAAGTTATTTTCAGGGCACCAATATGCTCGGCAAGTACTTTTATTCCTAGGCAGGAATAAAAAATACTTAATCCACGGGAAGGCACAGAGATGGGAGCAAGAGGATCCTTAGGAAGAGATACAGGGTGGGGGTGCAGGTGTGGAGCTTATGGAACTGGCAAAGGAGCCAAACACAACAGCGACCCGGTAGAATCTTGAAGATGTTAGGTATGACGGTTGTGAGGTGCGACAGGAAAAGGGGGAGGAGAACACGGGAAAAATCTCCAGGTAGGAAGCACACGTACAGGAGAATAGACCATACACCGTGTCGGCCACAAGGCAGGCTGGACACTATTCAGAGGAAGCGTAGTAAAGAGAGTAAGAATAAACATACCTTAAAGATGTACTGACCAGCCTCCCAGCTATGCTTCCCACTGCTAGGAAAGCACTTCTAACAGTGTGCTCTATCTAAATCATGTACCCTTGCTTTTAAAAAAAAAAGTGTGTGTGTGTGTGTGAGAGAGAGAGAGAGAGAGAGAGTCAGTCAGTCCTGGAAGATACGGTGCAGGCTGTGCAGAAATGTTATTAATGGTCTTATCCAGCTGTGGACTATCTTAACCTGCCAGGTGATATGTGCCCACCTGTCGTGAGAGTACCCAATTTGCTCTGACTGGATTTGAGGTCGGCTCCATAGGAGGAAATCCTGGTCAAAAGCCCACAGATCATAGGCCCTAGAAGGAACCTAAATGCCATTGTTCACTAAAATTGGCCGTGGCAAACCACCGTCTAAATACTGATACCCGTAGATAATGCTACTCTCGGCCTTAAAAACAGAGAATGGTCTCTTTCCAGTGAATGCAGAGACTCATGGTGCTGAGAAGTGATGGATGAGCGCTCAGCCCCAAACAAGACATTTATAGCACCCGTTCTGAAGGCTCAAGGAAAACACTAGCAGAGGGAGTGGAAAAATAGAAGAGTCAGAAGGTAGAAGGAGGGACGACAAAGAGCCAATGTCTGGGCAAGACCCTGCCATTGCGGTGATAAGCTCACTTCGGCTTCAGATGCCTGCCCTGGGTCTGCATAAGAACAGGCCCCTCAGCAGCTAAGGGAGGACTCAGAGCCCCCCCCCCCCCGCCACCCCTGCCCCGCGCGCCTTACTAAGGACAGATTCGGGGAATTGGGAGACAGCCTCTTCAGTTGTGTCCACTGGTGCCCCCACCCGGCTCCAACGAGTAGTTGCATCCCAATGCTCACACAGCTGGTCTGGTTAAGTCAAAGGGGTCACAAAACCAAACCAAAAGTTCCATGAATCTGGAAACTGCACCGGTATGGATGTGGTGGTTAAAAGGGATGGGAAAGTTAGTAGGGGTGGGAGGTGGGTATGGGAAGGTGAGGGAAAGTACAGAACACAAACGATAAAAATACATAGCTTCATGTTATTAATTTGCCTGTGAGAGTCCATTGCTCTCGGGATAAATTAATCTTAACCCAGTTTCCATCTCTGGATCCTTCTCTGGGTGTGCCTACATCCTGCCACACCAATATGCAACCTACAAAGTTAGTTTTCCGCACAGACTGAACTGTCAACGCCAAGCTGCACTCCCGCACTTTAGACAGTCGCCAGCAAACCTCCTCGGATTCTTTAAGCCTGCAATTTCACTGGGACCTCCACGGTGAAGGGGCTTCTTCGCGGTTGGCATGGGCTCACCCCTTTCCTCAGAAGCCAAAGCGCACCTGGAGCTGTCAACGACGAACTGCCCAATAAATCAGCTGACTTCTTGCTTGTTTTTACAGCCAGTGGATTCTCTTCAGCAGATTCGCTATCCTCTGCTCCCCTTTCCTCAAGCCCCAAGAAAAACTCCTATACAATAGCTCCTTTATTCCATTACTCTTTAGTCGTTATAAAAGTTTGAAGAGTGTTACTAGTTTTATACTCTACTTTAGAGTCGGTACCAAATCGCCGCTGTGTCGAAAGTGCAGCGGCGAAACCAACCCTGGGTCCGGGCCGACGGGATCCGGAAAGGCGGGCACAGGAAAAGGTGTGTGAGCGCAGGCGCACTTTTCCCAACACGCGGGCGCCGCCTCGGGCAGGCGAGCGCTGATTGGCGGACTGCAGCCGCGGGGCGTGGGGCGCGATGTCTGGTTTTGGGCGGGAATTGAAACGGCCAGCGCCGCTCGTCTGCGCCCGGACGCTACAGGTCTAGGGTGAGGAAGGGCACCATGGTGCGCCCTAGCAGGTGAGTAGTTGGTTTGGTGACGTCCCTCGGGGCGGCGGGAGACGCTGGCGGCCAGTGTCACCCAAGGCTGAAGGAGACGGCCGGGTCGGCTGGAGAGCAGCGGCTCGACGGGATGCCCGTGTCTGGGGCGAGCCCCCCCCCCCCCCCCCCGCTTCTCTCAGAGGCCGGCCTCGACCCCGCTTCCCGCCCCTCGGCGTGGCGTCGCTTTGCAGCTGTCGCCCGCTGGCCCGCCCTAGTTCAGAGAGACCTGGCCCCCAAAACCCCAGGCAGAAAGGCCCGTTTAACTAGACCTTCCAGCTCCTAGGTAGTAGTGGATGTCACGTTGGCATCTACTCCGTGATCGCAGCTGGGGTGCCAGGCCGCCCATCCGTTTAGTAGAATTACTGAGTCTAGCTGAGGCTATGGCCCACTGGTGGAGTGATGAGAGGCTCTAGGTTCAATACCCAGTACTGCACAGCCAAGCAAAAATAAACTGACTGGATTCACCTGGTCCTGCCCTGTCCTAAGAACTGGAGGCTACACTTTAGTGGAAGATGGGGCGGGGGCAGAAAAACCACCTCAGTGTAACATAGTAGGAAGGGGGAAAGCCTTACGTTAAAAAGAGTGAGAGAGTCCCCTAGGGAAACGTGAGAGGAAATAGAAGCGAAGGCCCTGAGCTTGACCGGGATTGAGAGACACATTGAAGCTGTGGTAGGAAGGCCGATGGATCACCAGATTGTGATTTGGCGTGGTGTGTGCGTGTGGAGCTGGAACAGGTGAGTCTGGGTACTTCTGACAAGTGGGGATGGAGATGAGGAACCAGGGAAAGAATCCAGGTGGACTATGGCCTGAGCGGCATAGTGGATGACCTCTGTGTTGACCGAGACGGGGGAGGCGATGGTAATGATGTTTAGAAGGTGGGACCAGATTTCCCGTGTCTTACATGGTGGAGTTGAAAGGGGATAGGCATGCAGATAGCGAAGACATAAGGCTGTTGTTTGGGATAGTAGCAGAGTGTGATCTGCAGGCCTCCAGGGTGCCCCAAATCCTCAGGCCTGTGAGATCGTGGCTGTGGGGTGTGTGTGTGTGTGTGTGTGTTGTACGTGACAGGGGTGGGATGATGGTACACATTCCATGTTTTGACTGTGGAGGTCAGTGGATGGCTGTGGAGTCATCTCTCTCCTTCCACCTTGTCACTGATTGCAGGAGTTGAAGTTAGGTCATCTGGACGGCACAGCAGTGAACTTTACCAGCCAAGCTAGCCCGTCACTTTTGTTACACTCGCTTCTGTCCTTGGCACTGCCATGGTGATAGGACTGTTGGCACCGCAAATTGAGGCCCTGGCAGCACACTGTGATGGCCGTAGTTACTGCAGTTTCTATTGCCACATACACAGACTTTTAAAAAGAGCATTTTTGGGCAGGAACGATGGCTCATTGGTTGAAAGAGTGCTCAGTTTGCTGCACCCGCTTCAGACAGCTCCAGGGGATCAGTGCCTCTTCCGGCCTTCACATACAATACATGTACACAGGCACACACATGTACACATAATTAAAAACCATTTTAAAAAATAATGGTTTTCTGACAGGTAGTTTGTGTTCTGTGAACCAATTAGAATGAACACATGTGTTGTAACTCAACCTCAGTGTACTTATCTTTTTAGTAGACTTTCGGTTTTATTTACTCATTTTCAATCCCAGCGTTTTTAAAGATGTTGTCATATCTCGTGCAGCTGTCAAATTCTTAAGCTCTGAAGAGTGGGAGAGTGACGTGCACACCCTCCCTTTCACGTGTGTGAGGCTACAGGAAGGCACACCCAGTGCCTCTCCAAAGGAAACACTTGCAGATGTGAAGTCTGAGCAGGACAAGCCTCTCACAAAACTATTTTTGCTTGAAAGAGCAGGCAGCTGATAAATGACCTCATTGACACGGTGCATTTCATAAACAACAGAAAAGAAAACTGGAGAGCTTTACATTTCTTTCCTAGAGGAGGGAAATTAACCTTTTCACATTGAATATTCTCTTCTTCTGCCTACTTAGTTCCTACAAAGACAGTAGGGACGAACTATTTTAAAGTGTTTATCCCATTTAAAAAAAGCATTTGGTATTTCTCTTAAATACTCATTTTATTGTTAGGGGTGTGAGGGAGTATATGTACATGAGTGCAAATGCCTGAAGAAGCCAAAGGGTTGTTATCCCCTAGAGCTGGAGTTCCAGGGGGTTGTGGGCTCCTGGCGTGGGTGCTGGGAACCAGATTCAGACCCTCTGAAGGAGCAGTACATACTCTTAACCACCATGACTCATCTCTGAGAGATTTTTTTAATGTGGTTAAAACTGAAGCAATACTTTATAATGTAAGCAAAGAACGAGCACAAAGGGATTTATAAATGCCCACTAGCCATTCGAATATAAGTCTTAGTTGAAAATTATTTGTATTCTCCTTATGTTGGGAGTTTCCTCACTTATTTATTTTCCATCATGTCTATTTGGCTTTTTAGCTAATAACAAGGTTCTTAGTGTTAAATGCAGATAATATTTTGGGTTGAGGTACTTTTAAGAGACTCCAAAGACATTTTCCTTTCCTCAAGACTATTAATAACTTTAAGGTGAAGGTATAATTATTAATGAAAATTTTCTGTCTTGATCATAGAAATAAAAAACCAGTCAATTACTCACAGTTTGAGGACTCTGGTGGTGACTCTGATGGTAAGCAGAGCTTTTTACTTTGCTTCACACATTGAGAAATGTATTTCCTCAGAGTTTATTATTCATGGGTTAGATACAGAGAAACTAAAACCTGAAAGCTTAGACTTAAGCTTTGCTGTATTACGTTTGTTTCTGTTAGAACTTTGACCAATGTTTGAGAAACATTTCTTTAAATTACAGTGTATTAGTAGGATGCTTTTTTCCTCTGTGTATGGTTGGTGTGCACATGTGCATATGTGCTCACGCTGGGGACCAGTCCTAGGGCCTCCCACATGCTGACTGATATTCTGCCACCAAACTATAATCTCATCCTAGAAGTAAGTCATATATTTCCTCAGATCAGCATAGTTTCCTTTAAGTCAGACACTTTAGTAATTTCTCTGTTCAGAGATAGCTCTTGCATTAAATGTGTCTGCAATTTGAGAAAAAATAATATAGAAGATAACTTTTAACTTTCTGTTATTGTCAAAGGTATGTGACCAGGTACTTATAGATTACCAGTTGTGTTCATGATATCAGGTGAAGTAGAATGTGCAGGAAGTTATATTTCTGTATGTGGAAATATGAAAGAAATAAATGTTAACAAATTCTTTTAAAAAGTATGTGATCCTGCAGGTACATTCATGTGCCATACATGGGTATTTTTGAATATTCCTAGAAGAACCGCAAGAGTTTTGAGGATTTATCGGACTGAAACGGCTGAGAATCAGCAGTGGGTTGGGAGAATTCAGCAGATCATAGTTGGCCCGTGGTGTCCAACAGATGTTCGCTGCTAATGCAGAGCCACTTCGCCTCGCCGAAGTGCTTCCTGTTTTCTTGGGCTTGGCTTTTTGCTAGAGATGAACCTTTGTAAACATCCTGGGCTACACTGTGTAGTTTAAAACCATTTCCTCCCACTCAGTGAGGTGACTCTTACGATTTCCTAATTGTTCTATGGCATTTTAGTTAATTGTTAGAGCTGACACTTATGAACTTTCTTAATTTATCTTTGTAGTTTTTAGTGAATTGGATTTTGATGAGTTGATATTTTTAAAGACAGGCACCGTTCATCTTGAGGTGGATGGTAAAAGTAGAGACAAATTGTTTTGATTTTTAAGGTGTAGAAACTGAATATATTGTGCATAAAATGTAGGTAAATGAATTTTAGTTGCCAAGAAAATAATATTTCTTCTTTTAAATTTATACAAAAATAGATGATTTTATTGAGGCAACCATGCCTAGAAACAAAAAATCCAAAACTTTGCCAAAGGAGTTAAAGCAAGACAAACCAAAACCTAACTTGAAGACTCCCCAGAAAGAAGACATCCTACCAGCGAAAGCCCCTAAAAAAAGGTGAGAGGTAAGACACAGGAAACACATGGTCCGTCAGCTTTGTTCATTCAGTACCTCAGCTTAAATGGGAATTTGAGCGGGCGGGCTGCCGTTTGTGGCACAGGAAGGTGCCATTAAGTGCTTTCTCTGGCTTGAAAAATAAATCACAAACATAAAAGAGAAAACCTGGGGTTTTTTTTTGTTTTATTAATAACATTTTGTAACATTAAATAATGATGTTACTAACCCTGCACCTATTTCTGCCCCTTCAGATCTCACAAAGATTCTTTGCTAAAAGAAAGAGTAAGGGCAATTTTAAGACAAGCATTTTAAACCAAAACAATGCCCTATAGTGTCTAGACTAACCCTGACATCTCATCATTTGGTGCCAAGAAGGAGAAGACCGTCCCAAGGGACCCCCAAATTATAGTACAGAAAGGATATGAGTAGGGGATGGGTAATGTTTTACTGTCGTGGGTCCTCTGTGAAAAGTTAGTTAGCATTGAGAATGTCATGCTGTTTGTTTCTACTTTTA